GCTTCTTGGGATAAAAATAAACCGATACTTTCCTACAAACGTTATGTTAATAAATATTAAAATGAAGAAGAAAATATAGGACGGTAAATTCTGAAGCAAGCAAAATTGATTTAAATTTGTTTATTTCTAACCACGAGTTATCCTTTCTAGGACACTGCGTATATTAACGATTAGAATCTGGTTGAGTCGGTTGCATTTTTTTCAAAAATGGTACGTTTTCAGCAATTTTTTTTCCTGCAAAATATTACTAAATACTTACTATTCATAGTATTAAACTTTTATAGTTCTCTTAAAAAAAGGAAAAAAACTAAATCATTAAGTTAAAAATTGAATAAATGACGTATTCTTCTTAACTTTGTGTAGCAGGTGCATTAAAAAAATACTTAATGAATTAAAAGCCAAAACAGAGTTCAATATTTTACATATGTGTCAACTTTTGAATGTCTACCTACGATATAAAATATTGATTTTGTCTATTAGAGAAGAATATGTTATTGAGTTCACAAAAATTTAAGAAATATTTCAGACGTTTCCCTTGGTTTAAATTATTGCGTCAAAAATTCGACGAACAGTTCGAATAAAATTAACTGGTGTTGTCGTTCTTAACCATTGACAAGACATCATTTAATGGAACAGTCAGTGGATTGGAATTAATGACAAAATGAATCACAAACCGATTTACTGACAGCCCAATTACGATGCTCATATTTAAAAGTCAATTAAAATACATGTGTTGCATAAATTAAAAGCGGTATACTTTTGTGTTCCATCCTTTTAATCTCGGTGCTCTCATAACTGGTTCAGTTCCTGAATGCCACAGAAATGCTCCACATAAAAAAAAACATCAAGGTCTTCAATTTCGAGGAATAATACGCGTATTGGTAACGTGGACCACTCAAATTTAATTATAGCACTAATAACATCATAATTATTTAGACTCTCAGACCTACAATGCGGATCTCATTGAAGGTTTCCTTATTTGCAGAATGATATAATACTTTATTTTGGAAGATTAACATGAAGCGCAATTATTGCATTTTTTTAGAACAGAGTGGAACCGTCTTACAAATAATAGCCGACATGATTTACTACGCCAAATATCTGTTTTGGGAGTTGCAGCTATTTTAAGTGAATTCTTGAAAAAAAAAAAAAAAATATGTTGTTATTTGCAAAGGTGTGCAGACGAACTATTTTTCAGAAACATTTCTAATGATAAAAATAAACTTTTTTATTGTAATACGACGAATATTGGAAAAAATATCTATCTAGCAATGATGGACACAATTTACTGTGCATTGCCTAGTAGCACCTACTGACAATCACTTTCTTTTTGTGTGTGACAAATGAATGATTATTTTGTGTCCTATGAAGAGTTTTGCAACTAAAATGAGTTTTGCGAAATTGAAACATCGAAGTGTATGAAATTTTTAATAACAAGGGAACATAAAATATTCCTTTAAAGTTTTAAAGTAAAATATTGGTCAAAACACTTTCGGTGGGGTCTGGACCGATTCAAGATGATCCAAAAAGTGAATGCTCCTCAAGAAACGCGACCAACCTGAGGTTTTAGCAAAGTAGTGTCAATGGTTGTTTGAAAGTGTCTATTATATCTATTGCGAAAGGTTTAAATACAGGGTGGCCAAATGAAAACGAAACAGCCATTTTCAGGAACTGCGTCAATATTGTAGAAATACGCTCAGACCCGTCGATTGTAGATTAAAGGGGGATATTCTTTGCTGGTATTTTTGACTCCGCTACTTTCACCCCCAAGCAAGGGTAAGCATCACCCCAAAATATTTAAATGGCATTGGGGTTGAGTAATATTTCTTTTGAAAGCTCTTACAAATCTCTTTACAACAGACTTTAAATTTTATAATTCCGCCCAATACTTATTAAGAATTTTGATTTTTAAGTTGAAGCTTATATACAAACAATTAGTCATTCGAGTTAAGTACGCCAATGATATAAATTTAGTATTTCTTGCGTTACATTGGTTTTTGGCGATTTGTTATCACTTTCGTAAAAAACACAATTGTAAAAAACAGAAATGAATGCTATACACACACAATGAACGTAAAATTAGTGAATTCTAAATTATTTTCTAGTATTATTTGGAAGCGTTAGTTGGTAGTTTATTTTTGTGTTTTTGAAAATTAAACACTATGGTTTATTCCATTGCGGAAAGGGTAGATATCATTTCGCTTTACTTTATGAACAATAAATGTGCGAATAGAACAGCTCAGATATTTAATGAACAACATCAAGATCGACATGTCAGGAGGAAGTATGTTACACAATTAGTAAAAAAATTTCAAGAGACAGGGAACGTAGCCAATAAAAAACGAGAAATTGAAAAACCTATAGTTAATGAAGCTAGTGAAGTTGCAGTTTTGGGACAAGTTCATCTTGATCCTACATTAAGTACGAGGCAGCTGGCATCTGTGTTTGGGATCTATCGAACTAGCATACAAACCATTTTGAAGAAGAATAAATTCCATCCATACAAAATACATTGAGTCCAGGAACTTCATGAGGATGATTGACCGCCGTTTGCAATTTTGCGAAATAATGAGTGAGCGAGCAGGGAACGATCCACAGTTCCTTTTTAACATCTGTTTTACTGATGAATGCAGTTTTTTCTTGAACGGGACGGTAAATCGTCACAATTGCCGCTATTGGTCCGATTCAAACCCAAGAGTTTTTCACGAGGTGCATACACAGCAACCGGAAAATTAAATGTATGGACTGGAATTTTCGGTGACCGGCTGGTGGGTCCCTTTTTTCTACCTGGTAATTTGACTGATATTATTGAAAATGTTCCAGAGTATGATGAAGATCATTTGATTTTTCAACTGTTGTAAAGAGAATTGTAAGAGCTTTCAAAAGAAATATTACTCAACCACTAATGCCATTTAAATATTTTGGGATGATGCTTACCCTTGCTTGGGGGTGAAAGTAGCGGAGTCAAAAATACCAGCAAAGAATGTCCCCCATTAATCTAAAATCGACGGGTCTGAACGTTTTTCTAGAATGTTGACGCAGTTCCTGAAAATGGCTCTGTTTCGTTTCCATTTGGCCACCCTGTATATCTGAACTAAGCGTTTTCACAGTTCTACATCTAACCCTCTGGTCACTCTCGACACCACTTTTAAGATCAATTGTAAGAACTCGGAAGGACTTACCATTGAAGTGTCATAGAATTCATCTAGCTTATAGCATTTCGATTAAAATTTTGTCATGAGTAAAATTTCAGGAAGGGGAGTTTCAGAACTGTTAACATCATTGCACAAATTTCTAAAAATCATATCTTTGAACGCAGATCCATATATTTTCTCTAAAGTAATGAGAGGCGATATGTGACCTGGTGTGATCTAGAAATAAAATTGGAGTATATCCGATGGGTCCATAAGAATTTCCCGTCTATAAAAAAGATCTACACCAAATTTTCAGCTACGAACCCAGTTTTTTTTGTTTTTGTTGAGAGAATGTCTTGCAAAAACCTCCCAGAATACCCGCACCTTCTTGGATTATTGTCCAACCCTCTGATTCGAACCAACAGCTGAATACCCAGTATAATTCTTCACTACTGCAGCTCCTATTACTGCATTACTACATTATAAAATACATGATTGTCTTAATAGTAAAGTCTTGTTGACTTAAAATTACACATATATTAATATATTTAGATATATTATTATTATTATTACATAATAGCAAGGACAGAGGCAAAGCCTATTTAGTCCAATAAAATATACAAAATGACAGTTAACAGCTTTTAGAGTAACAGTAAAATAAATAGCTAACATAAAAGAAAAAGAACAAATAAGTATGTGAACAGAATACCAAAATAACAATATAAATCACAGCTAACTAGCGAAACAGGCCATAAACCGCACACGAAAATACACTAGGCGCGCACTCAATGTAAAAATTCTGATGACATCCATGCATCCAACCTGTTCTTGAAAGAGTTGACCGATGGGGCAGTAACAACAGATGAAGGTAGGCTATTCCAATGGTAGAACACTCTATTTGGGAAGAAATTTTGACGCAAAGACGTTTTGAAGTTTTCTCACGATAATTTAAACTGATGACCACGTAAACGCTCATCCAAATTTAACCTAAATAGGTCTCCAAAAGTTAAACTGTATTGATTATTTAGAATCTTATACATTTGGATAAGATCACCACGAAGACGTCTCACATTAGTACAAGTAATTCTCAAATTATCCAAACGGTGATGATATGGAAGAGATCTAAATTTGGGGATCCATTTTGTGAATTTTCTCTGCACTCTTTCTATCAGATTAATATCTTTTATCAGGTAAGGGGACCATATGTTCACGCAGTATTCCAGATGCGGACGAATATATGATTTATATAATTTTAAGACCTGATCGTTTGAACTCTGGAAACACTCGTATATTTAGAATTGATAGATCATTAATACACTCCGTCAAAATTTTCCAATATGTGTTAAATTTATATAAAACTGTAATAAAAATAGTTTCCCATTTGTCTTTGTCCAACATCTTTTTATTCGGAAATCTGAAAAAGCCCCCCCAGGGATGTCATTTTGCAGGCGATAACCAGTTGAAAAAGGATATTGATGCCTATTTTGAACACAAAAAAGAATAATTTTTTGATATATGAATCATGCCGTTGAAGGACAGGTAAATATTATATTTTGTTTCGTTGCTGGTGAGAAAATTTCTCTCGTAACAATACGTAACAATAATAAACCATACGATGTAATTTTGGAACAAATATTGAAGATTTACATTTCTACCGCAGATAGAAAACATGCAAAATGCACCTTATTTCCGAATTTAAAGTAAATTTAGAATACAATGTAGATTGACATCTAGATGTCAAGTATTGTTTCAGAAATATAATACACTACTGTAACAATATCTGTAATCAACTAGATTATACTAGTTTCTGTAGCCAAAATCATTATATATTTTAGGAAATAAGGATATATACGTAAATTTACTTACATTTCCAGAAGATTTAATATCTTGAATGCTTACCTGAAAATTAAAAAAAAATAATCAGAAAAAGTAAAACTACTTAAGTACGTTTAAATAAAACAAACAGATCATGAAATATGGCAACGAAAATAAACGTAAAATTTCCAAATATTATTTAGGAACTCCCTTTTTTCAAAAAATTCTCAATTTTTTTATTTGAAGAAATTGACGCTGTTCTAAATTTGGTAATTAATTTTTATTATTAAGTTAGTTATTAGGTAGTAGCAAAATTTATAACTAGAAAAAGCCTGTAATTCTACTTAAAAAACGTCAGTAGATTTTTTTTAAATATCAAGTTATCCCTATCACGTAAATTATTATTTTTATGCATTATAATGCACGTGTTTTTGCATCTGATTCAAAATACTTACTTCGAAAAACACGTAATATATATAAATTTACTTTTATCTATCGCTAAAAATGAAAAGTAAGGTCACGTAGGTAGGTATAATTTATATTTTACGTTTTTCCTTAGTTCCAAATTTTCATAATTGAAAATGTAACAAGCGCTTGTCAAAAGCTGTCATATAAATTGTGATGGGATGGATTTTTACATTAGCAAGAACTGAGCAGCATTAATCTTTTTAACTGCACTGAAGTCACATTGTAAGTCAACAACTTTAAGTAATCAGCGTTTTGTGTGTAGTTTCGAACAAAATAAATATTTTCGGGATTTACTTTGTTAATCAATATTAGATTTATACTGAAATTACTGAAATCAGAAGAATAAATACAGGATGTTCAGTTACTAATTTGTCAAATATCACCAATAGATTATACGGAGCCTTCATAAATGATTACAAGCTGCGTAATTTTGTAAAATTAAAACAATAAGATCAAGATAACATTAAAACACAACATCCTGTTTCACCGGCGGTAATTGGTATAATTTTTCAGAAGATTCTATTCAAGTAGGTACTCAGCGATCGCATTATTTCGATCGTAGACGTAACGGTTTGTCATTGTTCATTGTAAACGAATCATTAATATTGGTGACGCCAAGATTTCGGAATTTTTCGTTACCAGTACCAGTCGTGCAAGTAGCAAGATTTATAACCAGAGAAAAGTCTGTGATTCTACTTAGAAAAAGTCAATAGTTTTATTATTAAAATATCAAGTTATTCCGAGTACCTATGTAAATTATTTTTATGCAATTTTTATGCATGTACGTTTTGTGCATATGATTCAAAATTCTTAGAAAAATACGTAATATGTAGGTACATTATAAATTTACTTTTACCTATAACGAATAATGAAGGTCACGTAGCTATAATTTTTAGAGCTTGTCAAAACTTATAGCATATAAAATATAACAGTATTTATTTATATATCAGGAAGAACTGGGCAGCTTTAAAATTCTTGACAATGTTCATTGAAGTTATATTTTAAGTCGAAAATATTAGGATAATGTTTGTGTGTGCAGTTTCGAATAAAAGAAAGATTTTCTTGGATTTTCGGGATTTACACATTTTCTCAATAAATCAATATCAACTTTATACTGGAATTACTGAAATCAGAAAAATACATACATCATGTTCAGCTATTAATATGCCACACATCACCAATAGATTCTGTCATAAATTTTAAAAAAATGTGTATTTTCAGCAGCATCTTGTAATTTTGTTTGATTTAACCAAGGACATTTAAATAAAAGGGACTTATTTATTTACATTTCTAGATGAAGCCTGGTCTATTCACAGTCTAATTGTATCATTGTTGTCAGCTGTATAATTACACTGGAAATATACTTAATATTTTTATCGCAATTTTCATCACAATTGTGAAAATTATTATTATAGGATAGTATTATTAAGTTATGCATACAATATTAAATTCTGTACATATTAAACTATTTTTCATTTTTCATATTTGCCATGTTTGAAGACTTGGCAACTACGCAATAATTTGTAGCGTGTTCCTCGTTCGTTCTGCCGTGGTTGGCAGAATATGGCGTCCCTTGTTAGAAAATAGTTGTGATTTTAGTAAGTGAAACGTGATTAGTGTTTATACATGTATTTTGGATAAACTTTTAAGGTGTGAATATGGTTAGACAGTGCAGAATTTGTAAGAAATTGGATTATAAACATCCACATCAGCTATCCTTCCACAGGTAAGCGTGCTTGAAGGTGACTTTGGAATGTATATGCAACTGTGGCCATTGTCGTGCGTATGGGTAACTTTTATTTGAATAACGGTAAAATTTTATAAAACTGACTTGGTGTTTTTTTAAAATTTTTTGAAATAGTAAGGAAACAATAATATGAACCACGTTTGGCCATTAAAATCAAAGGAAAATGCTACACCACAAATAAGTTACAGACATTATTTATATTTAATATATTTATAGGTATTTCAATGTTATCCCTTATACCCAACATTACAAATTTTAATCATTCATCATTTTCATTTTCCTCTACGACAAAAACCTTTTAATAAAAACTGAATAAATACAACAGCAAAAATATGGTGGTGGTTCACTTATACATAAAAATACCGAAGATGCAATCGACTGAAAGTTGCATTCATTCAACCATTTGATGTTCTCCTTTGGGAATATATTTTTATGTCTCACTGAAAATTTGCCTCGGTATTCTAAAAGTGAAATGTGAACGTTTTTAGGATGCTTGGGGATGGTGCAACAAGAAAGAAATGGTTACAGTTATTGGGATTCCAAGAAGTTATAAAAATATTATATATATTTATTATAAAAATACTGAGTAGCTGTTGAAATATATTGACTTAGGACTATAAAATATTTTATTTTGACCCATCCAAAATGTACGACATTGGAGATGTAATCGCGCGCATCAGTTGGATGAAAATAAAGCCCTCTGCTTTCCCCTTGTCTAGCTTCACCCAACATATGAGATAGACTGTGACATGCATAGTCCCCTTTATTTAAATGTTCTTAGATTTAACATAAAGGGTATAAATATGTAATTCTATTATCACATACCTGCAATCTTATGCAGAAATAAAAAACAACAGCGCGCAAACTTCCTTATCGGGGTATTTTTTTTAAATAAATGTTATCGAAAAATTGATTTAAATTTTCTATTTTAGTTATCGGTTACGGATAACTGAGAATTCTGGTCCAACTAAACTTAATTTCCATCATAAAATTATATTAAATATTTTATGATTTAAATCGACTTATTCAAATGTCAGCGTCTAATGAGGCAGAATCCATTAAAAGTAGTTTCGTGCACCAACATTTAGAGGCCTTAGAAACTTTTGCGTCTCTATATTTTTTCCAAAAAATATGAATCCATAACTATTACACCCTGTAAATCTTGATATTTTCAAATGCAGAGTAAAAAATTTTTTATTTCGACAATATTATTATATAAATGTACAGTGTGTCCCGTTTTTAGGCTAACACCTCTGGAAAGCAAGCTTTCTGCAAGCCAATTTTTGTACAAATAGTATCCTGAAGGGAGGTTATATTCTACTAATCATTTTATTTTTTATCAAAAAGATAATATTACCAGGCTATTGAACACCCATCAAAATACCCATAAGACCAAATTTGAACGACAAATGTCTATTGAATGTTTTTTATGTGATGCCAAACTTCGAAAAATCAGACAACTAAAAATTATATCTGTAAAAAAAGATTTAGCTTTTAATATACAGGGTGTCCCAAGTTCGGGTTGCCTATACATGAAATGGACACAAAATTTCAATTGTCAAAAAAAATCATTCTTCATAAAAATTTTTGCTTGCCCAGAAGCCCTTCGAAAGATAGTCATTTGTTCAATTTAATGTACAGGGTGTTCAAAAATTTGGAAAAGGTAAAAACAGTGAAGAGTAAAGTACCTTAAATCTGAACAATACGTGTAAAAGTAATGGGGAAAAGTTGCTTGGAATTAAATTTTAAGTTTAAATATGAAAGCATGGCCTTCTAGTTAATACTCGACATTCTGGGATATTCTAGGACTCTACTTATTTTTTAATACTTTCGGAGAAGCCATTCTATTTAAAAAATATTGCTTTATTGAAAAACAGATACACATGTTTGCATATTAATAATTTACTTTTTATACAGGGGGATCAAAAACTTCAAAAACATTAATCCAACATTCATTTTGAGAACACAGCAGAATCAGTATGTACGCGCCATTACAAAACCCGGGACTGTCGATGTTAGCAAGACACATATTCAGAGGATTTTGGTAGAAAATAAGTTTAAGGCTTTCAAACCAAAAGTAATTCACACTCTAGTTGGTGATAATGCACATCGTTTGGAGTTCTGTTTAGAGATAGGAGAAATAATTGAGACATTTTCATAAAAATATAATTTTTTCCGATGAAACCACTTTTTCTACCAATGGAGTGGTATCATCGGAAAATTGTCGTTTTTGGTCGCAATAAAATCCTTCCTTTACAGTTACTTCAAGAAGTCAAAGGTTCAAAAAAGTATATGTTTGGTGCGCGATTACTTTCAACCGAATAATTGGGCCATACTTTTTTTAAGCAAATTTAAATCAATATACGTACCTCGAGATGTTAAACACGTTTTTCTGGCCAGAATTAGAAGAACATTTCGAATATAGACAAAAAGCGTATTTCCAACAAGACGGATGTCCCGCTCACTCAACAATTCTGGTCCGCAATTGGCTTAACAGAGAATTTCGAGAGAAGTAGATAGGAAGATATGGTCCTATTTGTTGGCCAGCAAGGTCCCCTGACTTGTCGCCGCTTTATTATTTCCTTTGGGGCTTCTTAAAAGAAAGAGTGTACAGAGAACCAGTGCAACACAATGTTGATTTCTTGAAAAGCAGGATAATTGAAGCTGTTGCCCAAGTAAATGAAGAAATGATACATTCGACCTAGGCTGCATTTAGAAAAAGATTGGAGAGGTGTATTAAACTTGGCGGACTTTATGTAGAATAGTTTTGTAATGGCGCGTACATACTGATTCTGCTGTGTTCTCGAAATAAATGTTGGATTAATGTTTTTGAAGTTTTTGATCCCCCTGTATAAAAAATAAATTATTA